TCTCTAATAAAAATATGTGTACTAATAGTTTCGAATAATTTAACGTTAAAGATAAATACGTATGAAATTAAAAGCATATAGATATTTACCATAATCGTTATTTTGGACCGGTTGATAATTCCCATAAATAGTTTGCTATGAAATGTTGAGAATGTCTATCATCAACAAATACTGTGTGAACGCCATCAGGCCCCTCTATTGAGTAAAGTAAATTAGACTAGCGTATACTTAACACAAAATAAATGTTTAAATTAACATTACCAACTCTTGCTTTCAATTTATGAGTGTCTTGATCTTCAAAGAATTGAATGCCTAAGGAACGATAAATATGGAGTTGAAGTCTGAAATTTGAACATAGGTTAGGCCATAATGTCGAATGAAGCGAAGATATACAAGTTGATGAGAAAATTATATATAAATTGTAAAGGAAAATATCTTAAACGTGTTCATTCACAAGATTATGCAAATTATAAAAGGTAAACGAACACATTTAGGACAGCATCTCAGATAATTTACGATATAGCATCCTGTTTCGGTAAAACAAGTTCTTCAACATTGGTATGTTCCAATTGATATAATTCGTTTTGTAACGTTTCAAGGGTAATCTCAAGAGCAGTAATTTCGAAAAAAATTTTAAGTTAAGGAAAGTATAATGATATTAAGATACAACGCGCTGATTAATAATTGTTTAACATAAAAAAAGGATATTTATTCTCTTCATTTAAATTCGAAATAGATTTAGTTAAAACGCGTTTTTCACGTTCATGTTTCATTATAAGATCATTAAAATCACGCTCATTTTGATCATTGGGTCTTTTTGCGCTGGATTTGAGGGTTTTTAACTTTCTACTTAGCGCTTTTATAAAAGAAGAATCAATACTATTAGGTCAACAATAATAATGTTAAAACAATATCATTTGATTTAATGCATGACTGAAAATATACCTCTCAATTCATTTCGCGTTTGTTCACTTTTTTTATTCATGGCTTCTTCAATTTTTCGGATATTTTCTTGAATTTCTTGAATTGTTTCTATGTTGTCACTTGTCTCAAATTTCTTTTTGAGACTGACGATTTCAGATATAATATTCTTGGAGATAGATGATTGTTGTTTGTCCATTTTCAAGTAGATTATCGATAATATATCGATAATGTAGAAACGGGCTTTTTTTTATTTATTTGGACGCGTGAAATTCGGCACGATCTTCTCAGGTGCGCCAGCAGAAAAATTAACTACCCCAGTAAACTACCCCAAGAACACCTCTAAAAATCAGCCAATCAGATTTCGAGATCAGGTGTAACGTGAAATCAAAACAATCGG